GAAAAGGACGTTTCTTCACTGGGATTGTGCACTCCAACCCACCTGGGTAATAACCCCTTCCCAGAATGCCACTGGAGCATTTCGCATTTTTAAACTCCAGCATCCACTTGGAGTACTTTCTGCGTGAGCCCGGCTCCGTAGAATCCAGTCAGTACCAGAAAGCAGAACCACTGTGGTTCTGAGGAAATGGGTCAAGCGGCGTAATTCACGGAAATGTTTCCCCTTTTTAAGTTTTAATCGTGCGGTGTACTGCCTGCTTTTAGAGCGAAAGTTTCAGTAATTTTCCTCACTATTTATACTCGCCCCATGCCTTCATTTTCCATGGCTGCCTTTAATATTTAAAGCGGCTGGTTCTTTCCCTACAAAAGGACAGCAGCCGAAAATGTTTTGTTGATTGAAGACTCACAGGAAAATGTGATTCAAAAAGGGCCCAGATACCATTAAGGCCAGTCTCTGCCACTATCTGCTACTTTAAAGGAGATAAATGTCCTTTTGGCTTAAACTGTTAAATAATCCAATTTATAAGAATATACAAACAGTAGATAGCAGAAATTCTGCCTAGGGTTTACTGAACCCTAGATCGATGGGGTGTATCTTCTCGGTCTGCGGTTATGAGTTATTATAATATTCCCTTTTCCCTGTATCAGTCAACATGGCCATATGTGCTCGTGTGGGGAAAATGAGTATGAAGATGTATGGAGTTCTGTGGCAAAAAACCGAAGGGAGCGAGACTCAATTTTCTGCCTCTGGTTGTAGATCCTGTTATATGGGGGCTGCGTCGGGATCCATTCACTGACATCGCTCCCCCTCCCCACTCACACATTCATGCTCATCTACAAGGTTCTTGTTGTAGCTAAATCTTTGTGCACCGGGGGCAATTATGTTCAGAGAGGCACTGTTTAAATATAAATAGGATAAACTGTAGCCATACTGGCAAATCTTTAATTCCTGAGCCGAAATCATTTATGTTACCAGCTGTGTCATTTCACTAGTGTTTTTGAGTGTCCCTGGCCCCCTTCGCTCCTGCTCCCAGGTCCACGCTGCTGGCGGGTGATGTCACGTGGTGAGAGCGCTCAGCGCCGCCATCTGCTGGTCATCGGGTTACACATGCGGAATAGTGGGCTGTTTCATGCCCACGTCTGAATGCCACGAGAGGAGCTTAAGCTGTCCAGGGTTGCTCTGAATGAGCAGATCTTGTGATCATTTTCCTCTCATCCTGTTCTTCTGGTGTTTTGGGCAGACCCGTAAACCTCGGAGAGTTTTATTGGTTTGTATCTGGCTAGTCAGGGGCTCTTATGGTATGAAGAACCAGTAATATGTGCTTGAACCCTTTAGACAAATTGTCCTTGACTTTGGGCAGTTTCAAGACAATGTTTTATGGACAAAATTATCGGCAGTGTATGTTTGCAGATATTCCCTGATTTTCAGAACATGCGAGCATCTGCTGCCTGCATCCACAGTTTGGTCTGAGTGTGATCTAGCAGAAGACAGTGAGAAACCTTCAAGTTAAACCCTTCAATTCTGGGCTTTGACGCTATAGCTGAAACCTGACCGGCCCAGCGTCACGTGCAGGATGGCGCAGGGGTGTGTGCAGGCGGCATGGCCTGACTGCTGCATGGTCTCACGGCGAGGAAACCCCCCCCCCCCCATTGCTGATTTATGGCTAAGCTCAGCAGATGCGGTTAGGCCAGGAAACACAGCGTGACAGGCCGGCCCCTCCCGTTCTCGCATGCACGTCCATGTGGCCCAGCTGGACTGTGTCATGTGACAACTGTCCACCTCAGGTGCCCGCTGACTGTCCTGTCGCTTTTAAATCCTATCGGACAGATCCCTGCTACCATAGACTCATTATGTCTTCCGACATCATGGAAATCCATGAAATCTTAGGACAGTCAGAATTGGCCGGGGAAAACGAGGGCAAGGCATGGAATCAAGCCGAATTCTTACTCAACATACTTAACAAAGCATTTTTTGTCGATGTTCGTGGGGCATCGTGAGGCTTCAATGAGGCTCCTTATATTCCCCGGTGCCTGGCTCTTGACACACCTCACTACCTTGCCTGCGGCTGGATCGCGCTCATATCTGTGGCTCAGCACTCAGTGTGCAGATAGTTGTAGTGACAGTATGCTTCTGGGGTCAGCTGTGTAGTTGTGATGTACAACTGTTGTCATAGCGACCCCCGCCCCCCTCCACCCAGCACTGTCGTCTTTATTTACAGTAGTTGTGCTGCGTTTGACCATCCTGCAGCGCTAATCTCCATTCTTGGCCACAGCCCCCTGTGCCCCCCCCCCCGGCCGCTGTTCAGCCATTGTCACGCCTTTCCCTTCCCATTGTTAATCCATTGTTATGTCTCTGTTATGGCAGCCATGCCTTTGTCACACCTCTGCCTGTTAATCCATTGTTATACCTTTGTCACTGCATTGTAGATAATTTTTTTGCCTCAGTTGTGTTTTAGTGAACGTTCAGCAGGCAGATGCTTGAGCCATATCTGATCCCCACCGGCACACAGAGGATGACAGCCACTCCAGTGATAACCACACTGCCTTTGTCTTTTTACACTTCCATTTCATTTGTCTGTTCCCGTTTGCAACCCCCCCCCCCCCCCCTCCACAACAACCCTTGAAAAACTGTCATTTCGGAAATAAATGACAGCAAAAGGAAGTTAAATTTCCTGGCACAGAATGATTTGTGTTGAAGCCTTCGTCTTCCTCTCATATACATATGTATTTGCTTTTATAAACTGGCTGGAAACACTAACGGGATCTGAAGGTATATTAATAATTTCTCCTGCGAGAGCTATTTATGGCAAACATTTTTCACTTTTATTACTTCATAATGTTATTGTTTACAATAAGCAATTTTTGAGGCTTTTTTCTATTTCTTTTTGTTTTTGTTATATAAACGCTGACTTTTCAGCGTTTCAAATGCCTTTTGTTTTAATTAATTGTTTTGCCATTTGGGATACCAAATGAGAGCATGCTGGGGAGCACTGTGAGAGTGCGCTGCATGGCGTGGATGCTGAGGCTTAGCTGGGCAGTGCAGAGAGCAGTGTGAGAGTACGCTGCATAGTGTGGATGGGGAGGCTCGGGCGGCAGTGTGGAGAGCAGTGTGAGAGTACACTGCGTGGCGTGGATGCTGAGGCTCGGGTGGTGCAGAGAGCAGTGTGAGAGTACGCTGCGTGGCGTGGATGCTGAGGCTCGGGTGGTGCAGAGAGCAGTGTGAGAGTACGCTGCGTGGCGTGGAGGCTCCGGCCTGGGGGGTGGTGCAGAGAGCTCCACCACCGTTGATGAGTTATCAAACGCCGGCCCTTGTGCACCACAGTATTAATGCAGCAGCTCAGCAAAATGCTGTGTTTATAATGCAGTGATTAGCACATTGCAGTTATACATTAGATATTATTTATCTTACATTAATCTTTTAGTTATATATTGCATAGTATTTATCTTACATGAATATAATACAATATAATATAATATTGACTCTAGCCAGTGTAGAATGCAACATTTATGCAAGTTTTTACAGTTACACATTCCACAGTATTTATGTTTCATTAATGTAATGTAATTGACAGTTTAATATAGTATTAAATCACTGTTGTATGCATGCAGTACTGGCACTGGTTGCAAATAAAAGCTGATCACATGACTCATGTCAGCAATGGGTGCACACACACACACACACACACACACACACACAGGAAGTTGGTCTTCCTATCAAAATGTGGACCGTCCATTCATTTCTATAGGAAAAGCCCTAATCCCAATCACGACACCCTTAACCTCTACCCATCCCTAACCCTAACCATAAGTAACCACAGAGTTTTATAAAACTGAGGTTATCCAAATGGCGGCCAGAAAAAATGTCCCCAAAAGTTAGGAAGTTTCAGGTTTTACCATGTTACCTAAATGTGGTCTACGCAAACACACACAGACACACACTCACACTGCACAGCACACACACACACACGCCCAAACAGTACGGCAGATATTTCAGTGCTAATCGCCGTTCGTCTGTGTGGTTGGGGGGCGATCACGGGGGACGTTTGACTTGTCTCCTTTTTTGAGTTTCTGGAGCCCCCGCATCGCTGTCTGACGACGCAGTAATGCGGCTGTGTTTTATTCATTCTCTGAACACCACACGGACGTTAAGTAATTTCAAGTTGATGCTTTTCTTTTATTTTATAACACATGCCTCCTGGGTAGGAGGCGACCAGGCTGAATGGGAGACATTCTTACTCGATAATGATGTGAATTTCCATCGGAATCTTGCCAGAAAGTCTAATTTACACCCAATCCCTCCCTCATTACACATTTCTTCCAAATCACCGCGTCCGTGGGCACAATTGACTGTTTTTAATCCGGCGCAAATTTTTAATTAACACTAATCTAACCTCGGAGTAATATATTCCAGAGCACATTGAGAGAGACAATAACTCATAAATCACAACCGTGGTGTAATTCCAAACAAGTAATTTTTTTCCCCACATAAATGATGTATTTCCAGAAAAAGAGCTTGCACACTGTTAACCTTTGATAGAGTTATTATTGGTGGTGGGGGGCATATTGCAGCAATATGGCTGACGCCCATGTTACTGTATGACTCACGCTGGTCCAGCACAGCATTCTTACAGCACTGCAGTGTGTAGTGTTTTTCATAGCGAGAGTATTGTGGAGCATTGTGGGATACTATTTGCGTAATGCCGGATGGGAGTCCCTCCAAATTTATGGCTTAAATCCTCTCAAAGCTTACAGGTTAAAGCCAGTCACTGCAGCTGAGAGTTACTGTGTCCTTGTCCTGGATCCGTATCCATAAATCTCTGCAGTGACTGCATTTCTCTCCGGAGTAGGTCACATGATGGTCACATGATCCCGTGCTGGCGACGGAGGAACCGTTCTGTACGCCGGCCCCCAAAGGCGTCGGCCTTGTAGCATTTTAGCGCGCAGCGTGACGAGCTGTCAGGATGAACGAGTTCTCACCAGCGCCCCCGTTTGTTTATGCAGGGTATGGCTTCGTGGATTTCGACAGCCCGGCGGCTGCTCAGAAGGCCGTGGCTTCCCTCAAGGCCAGCGGAGTGCAGGCGCAGATGGCCAAGGTGAGTACCCCTGCGGTGTGGCCCCAGCTCACGGCCTCGCACCCTGGGCCAGCCTTGTTATGATGACAGACAGATGTCTGGGCAGGGCCCCCTGGCGATCAGTCACTGTGATGTCATTGTTTAAGCTGCTAATGGCTCACTGATGCTGTGTGGAGGCTTTGATGATAGCTACCAGGTCCCGTTTGCTTCTAATGATGTCTGTCGCTGCCTGGAAGGAAACACTGATTGCCCTCAGAATGGATATGCTCTCAAGGTCTCCATGTCTCATTATACAGACTTTTCACTGGGCTTATTAATTTTCTTTCAAGGCGATAAAAAAGTGTCATTTTGGCATTATGTTAAAAAAATAAAATAATAAAATAAATTGCTAGAATACTGTGGGTGTCAGTCAGCTGGGACACTGTATCAGTCAGCTGGGGCTCGGTATCAGTCAGCTCAGGCACGGTATCAGTCAGCTGGGGCACGGCATGAGTCAGCTGGGGCACTGTATCAGTCAGCTGGGGCACAGCATTAGTCAGCTGGGACACTGTATCAGTCAGTTGGGGCACAGCATCAGTCAGCTGGGGCACAGCGTCAGTCAGCTGGGGCGCAGCATTATTCAGCTGGGGTACAGCATTAGTCAGCTGGGACACTGTATCAGTCAGCTGGGACACTATCAGTCAGCTGGGGCACAGCATCAGTCAGCTGGGGCACAGCATTAGTCAGCTGGGGCACAGCATTAGTCAGCTGGGACACTGTATCAGTCAGCTGGGGCACAGCATCAGTCAGCTGGGGCAAAGCATTAGTCAGCTGGGACACTGTATCAGTCAGCTGGGGCACAGCATCAGTCAGCTGGGGCACGGCATTAGTCAGCTGGGACACTGTATCAGTCAACTGGGGCACAGCATCAGTTAGCTGGAGCACAGCATCAGTTGTTGCAGGTCAGTCAGCTCAAATACACTGGCTGTCAGAAAAAATGCAGTGGGTGTCAGTCATCTGAGCACAGGGGGTATCTGTGTCAGTCACAGGAAACACAGTGGAAGCGAGTCAGCTGGAACGCCGTCAGCCTGTTCATCACGAGAGGAGTGACTGACACAGCGGGTGGGGGGGGGGCATGGAGAAGCGGGATGCTCATTAAGTGAGATGGAGACATTTGGAGGGTGACGGAGAGCTTTATCTCCCAGGGAAGTGGCACAGGTGCTCCGCGTCTCCAATGAACAATTTATCTTTCTTCTCTTTCCTTAAAGCGCCCTTCTTCTAATATTTATAAGGTGCCGTGCTTGTGGAATATAAATGGGTTCTGAGGCTTAAATCCTATTTAAATGCATGCGATTTGGAGCTGCCGTGGTCCCGTTAACACGCCATGCGCATGTCAGGAGATGGGCGCCTCACGTCAGACGCGTGTTATGGCCAGCCCCGTGTTTCCCGGCTGTAACCGTGTTCTGCGATGTGTGTGGATTTTAGCACACATGTAGCTGTGTGTGTCCACGTGTGTGTGGGGCATGATCTGAGCCTGATCTCATTTTCAGACCGGACCTTGTAATCATGTCAGACATCTCTGCCTCTTCTCATTTCCTGGCTCATTTGAGTATGACAGTTAGCTCTGGAGCCCTGGATTGGACAGATTTCATTGTACAGATTTTTACTGTTTGAATGGAATTTACAAGGATTCCCATTGATTGTGTGGTGGACTCTTATTGGTTGGAAGGGCTCTGGCTGCCTCTGCAGCCTTGGAGTGGATAGGATTCTGATTGGTTGTTTGCAGTGTAATTTGTTAGATGAGATTTGATTGGTTCAGCTGAGCTGCTGGAGGTGTGATTTTGTCTGAGTTCCAAATGGTGTAAATGATTATAACATCTTTCATTGAGTCTAGGATGTTAGTGGTTTTGTTGCCTAGCAGTTGAAGGCCTTCAACGCAGAGTCCATTTAAGGGAACGCTTCAGGCATTTTTGCTAACATCTACTTAAGGAAGAAACTTATTATGGGCAGTATATGGTGTTAATTCCACATTGCGGGACTACAGAATATCCTGAGAGATTGCCTTTGCATTTTGTACTGGTGTATGCATTTGGAGTTAAAGAAGGTGATAATTAACTGACTCTAATGGCTATAAACTGATTTAATTGAATGCTGAAGGGATCCAGTCACGACTATTTACTTTCAGAGAGTGAATGTATTTTTTCTCGCTGTACAGTCTTTACCTCCTGCTGATTGAAGTCAGTCCTTCCATCCCACAACACAGAGACACAGCCTCAATACCTACTTCGAGGCCCCTCCTGCAAATTAAGGAAAGTTAATGGACTCTCACCACCCCCCCCCCTCAAAAAAAGGGACTCCTCCCCTCTAATTACCACCCCACACCTCCCAGTGTAACAGTGTAAAGGTATTGCCAGTATTCAAAGATGTAGAAATATAGAACTTGTCAGGCAGCCAGAGTGAGGTTAGTCTTCCTGATGTCACAGTGAGATGGGCTGGTCAAGCTCACCATCCCACCCTCCCGTCCTGCTCACAGATCCGGGGTCCCCAAGTTCCAGTTCCGCATTGTAGTGTTTACTGTCATGGTGGTCAGCTAGTCGTTTTGGAGGTGTTCCACCTTGGTGAGCAGTTTGTGTTCATATGCTGGGGGTTCCTTTGGAAGAGGGTTGAGTAGATCTGACATCATCCCAAAGCACTGCGGCCCGGAGCCAACACTGATGGGTCTTACAGCCGTGCACAAAGCAAACAGCGCTTCATTTAAGGCTGAACAAACCCAAAGCGAGAGGCCTTCATGCATGAAGCTTCATCATAGGCACATTTTGGAAGGAGCGTTTATTTTATAGTTTTCTCATAATTAAAATAGTTTTTCCTCCTAAAATAGAATAAATGTAGTGGTTACTTTTCTCTCTCTGGCTTTTGTTTGGATGTAAATATGCCTGCAGGTTGGAGTTACCTGATTCTGTGGTTGTCTGTTCCCCTGCTGTTACAGGTGTGTGTATGTGTGTGTGCATATATATATGCAGCAATCTAATACAGTATAATCATGTAATGACAAACCCACGCCATAAAGTATATATCATACCTATATATATATTATTTGCAGATATGGCTGCAGTTTAGCATATACTTTTCTAACCACACACACATTTGTATTTATATCTTTGTGGGGACCATCCATTAATTTTGATGGAAAAAACTCTAATCCCAACAATGACAGCCTTAACCCCTACCCAGCCCTAACCCTAACCATAAGTAACCAAACAAAATACAAGACTTTTGGCATTTTTACTTTTTTGATTGCAGTCACAGATTTTTATAAAATTGAGTTTCCCCTTGTGGGGACCAAAAATGGTCCACCAACATCAAAATGAAAGGTTTTATCACACTGGGGGGACATTTGTAATATATCCATGACCCCCCCCTCCCCTCCCACACACACACACACACACACACACACACACAGAAATCTCCACACATTACTGCAGTGTTATCTTAAGACGGAGGTCAATGTGTGGCTGCATTTCTTCTGAGGTGTTTATGCGTCATGCTGCAGGAAGCTGAGTGTTCCACCTGCCTGCTTCTACATACATCACTGCAGACCATCTCCGGCGTGAGACTCCTATGCCGCTACTTACTAGAAGCTTCTATAGCGACAGGGTGCCAAAGAACGTCTGCATCGAATGGAAAGGCTTGCAGGAACATTAAAAAACATTCGTCTGATTAACGTTTGCATTTAAACGAAGACAAAGACCTGCACTAGCTATAGCTATTCCACGCCAAGGCTAATCAAGAGCAAACACATCATTAGTGTCGTGCTCTGCTTCTTTTGCTGTCTGCTGCATAAGTCCTTGTCTTCCTGCTTGCCAGGATGCCAGTGTTTGTTTTCTCTGCATCCACCTTTGTCGAAAATAGATCCCAGGCTTCAGAGATTTTCCAGGATAAGGCTCTCTGTCTGCACTGAGCCGCTTGTTGAAAGAAAACTTCCTTATCTGACCGCTTCCTGGTCAACATAACACTGTCCGGTTAGTACTTCTAGAGGCAAATTACTCCTTCTGACCAATTCTGAGCATAAACAACCTTGTGTGACTATCTGCTAGTGCACTTTACACTGTTTTACCCACGTCTTGGTCTAAATTGCCTTGTCTGACCACTTCCAGTGAGACATTGTCCTTCCTGCCCACTTCCAGTGAGACATTGCCCTTCCTGCCCACTTCCAGTGAGACATTGCCCTTCCTGCCCACTTCCAGTGAGACATTGCCCTTCCTGCCCACTTCCTGGTGAACAGTACTTTCTGTTAGGTGTGTTTTACAGAGGATAGCAATTTCAATAAACTAATCAGGTGGGAAAACACTATAAATAAAATGTTCCCTTTATAACTGATAAAAGCTCATTAAAGTCCTGTAGCGGTTCAGAGGGTCACAGGTAACCACACAGCACCTACTTACATCAGCCCTTTCTCTGACTTTCCCGCACATTGATTTAACCAAAAACATTATTGGAAAAACACAGCTACCCATTTTCCCATTCTGAAATAGGACTATTTAACAAATTCATTTACTGTATGGGCCTTTTGCGGAAAAGGTATAAATGTAAATAGCACATTGGGCTGCTGCTCATTTGATTTGCAGTTGATGAGGAGAGAGTTTCTCCCTCCAGCAGAATGACAGGTCTCCTCGCCCCCACCCTCCTGGAAGAAATTTTTAAGACATTAAAAGTAGGGTCAGCCAATCTCTGGAGCAATCCGGGGTTAAGGGCCTCACCCAAGGGCCCAGTGGTGGCATCAGTCACCTAGGGACTTGAACCGGCAACCTTCCGAGTCCCAATCCAAGTGGTACAGATTTCTGCCTGTCATGCCTGTTACATGCCCCTCGCATGGGACCCAAGGGAAATATGTGAGCTCATCGGTGGGTCTGGAAGGCCCTGAATCAGCAAATGGAGCAAAGCGGGATGGACCCCAGGACGGCTGACCTCACATTTGCCCGTCGCCGTGTGTGATGTGTTCCCAGCCTGTTCTGAAATTTCAGCATATGTGCCTCAGTAACTTT